GTTTCATTCTTCTCCTGCAAGCAAGTGAGTGAACATTTATTAACGAAGAGGTTCTACATTCCTGCCGAGAGCAGAGAGGCTCATAATACCTTTAAGGGCGCTTAAAAAGAAATGGAGAAGATGACTAAATGACTATAAAAAGGGCCTCCTGATGTCTTGACGTCCCTCCGGCGTCTGGTACAGTGTTTGTTTTGTCCCCTCTTGGTCCCCGGTAACATCCCCTCAGCATGTTTCCTGTAGATCACCAGGCTCTTCAGGTCATGGAGGGAAAATGTGGTCGGAGGGTAGAGTGGGCGGAGTTCAAGGCGTTTCTGTCATTCTCTCCGTCATTTCCACAGCGGAAGGTTTACGACGGCTCCAAGCTCTTCAGGGCACCAACCTTTGACTCCAAGTCTGTAACCTGAGATGGAAAAAGAGAGAAATTCAGGTCAGGTACACTTATTGTCACCATTTTTATGTATGTGGCAAATGCTTTTATCTTTAAATGCATACATTACTGTTCAAAAGTTTGGGGTTGTTAATATTTTAGAAAATGTCTCTTACTGTATGCTCACCAAGGCTCCATTTATTTGATCACAAATACAGTAAAACAGCAATATCGTAAAATATTATTACAATTAAAAATAATTGTTTTCTATGTGAATATTTTTAAAAATGTAATTTATTCCTGTGATGCAAAGCTGAATTTTCAGCATCATATTCCAGTCTTCAGTGTCGCATGATTCTTCAGAAATCATTCTAATATGCTGATTTACTGCTCAAGAAACATGTTAACATTTTTTCAGGATTCTTTAATAAATTAAATCTTCTGTGCCATTATGAAAGTTTTTACTGTCAATTTTGATCATTTTTTTTTGTGTTATTACCTCCTTATGATAAATTGCTTGTATTCCTTATTTTTGCGTCACTTTGGATAAAATCGTCTGCTAAATGAATAAATGTGAATGATAATTTAATGCATTATTGCTAAATTAATTTCTCTTTCTCAAAGAAAAAAAAATACTGACCCCAAATTTTTAACAATACAATAAATGTAAACCCTTAGGGCAGGTTCACGGTTTTTCCTTTCCCCTCCATTATTTTTCCATTGTTTTCTTTGTAAATAGACAAAATCTTTTGACTGCTGTGCTCACATCTCACATCTTTTGCAGCATCTCATGCATGACACGCCTCTCTAAAAATGCAGCGTTCAACTAAAAATAGAGTTAATAATAGTGATGTTTGCTTCAAGTTCAAGTTGATTTCTAAAGCACAATTTAAAACAACTAAAAGTTGACGAAAGTGCTGTACAGTGCTGAAAATTATAACATCATGTAAACAAACAAAACAAAAACACAGTAAAGGAGATTACATGAAACTCTACAATACAATAAAAGCCAAGAAAAACAAACTTTAAAATCAGAAAGTGTTTGAGCACTTGAGGCTCCTCCACAGTTTTGGTACAACTACTGAAAAAGCCGGATAATTTCTCAGTTTTATTCTTGCTCTAGGACCAGTCCACCACCTCTGATCTGAAGATCTGAGGGATCTTGATGGATTATGCTTAGACAGAAGGCTCGATTTGTAAGTAGGTGACTGTCTGTTTAAAGACAAATAAAAGAATCTCAAAATCAATAGAGTAGGCCCCACTAATAAATGTCATATAAAACTAGTATTTGCAATCACCTAGTGTGTGAGTGAATAAGAATAAATGGTTTCTGATTTCCAAACGCACCTTCTCCTGGAGGTTTTCTGTCTCCACCTTGTGGGTGGCCTCTGACTCCTCTTGTGCTCTGCGCTGGGCCGTCTCCTTCTTCAAATACTCAATCTCTCTGCATTAAGACACACATAAATGCACACAACACAGTTAAACCCTTTCACTAGGTCACATGAAGGAGTTTTGTCTAATTCCTTCAATCACAAACCCTTTGTGATCCTGATTCAAGTCATTATATTGAGTCTGACTCGCTAT